CAGTCACATTCATGGGACGCTGGTTCCAGAAGGGGGAGTGCTTACGGTGCACGACACGAACATTGTTAGTGGATGACAGGAAAACATAATAGCTGATTAGAGAGAAGATGAGGGAGTTTGTAAGGGAAGGGTCACCAAGTTTGCAGTAACCGTAGGACGTTGGTTCCGAGGAGGGGCATGGAGAGGAGGATGGGAACATGTATGGTGGGTGACAAAAAGTGACAAGAAGTGTTTAGTGCGACTAGTAAGGGTTGGGAAGAGCCTGTCATCGCTTCGCTTTCTGCACTCATTACTATACTGCAAGTATTACAGCTTTCGTGCAAAAGGGTAGCGCCTACACTGAATGAAAATGAATGAACGAATTGTTCTTCCCTTCCCGATAAGAATCAGGAGAGATTCGACTGCTAAGCTCTCGAGTTCCGATCAAAAAGAGATGCTTCTTGTTACTGATGTTCGCCAATGGCGAAGGATAAGCCAGAAAGAAATGAAAATGTGGACTGTTTCATCAAAGTTGAAAATGCTCATTGTTGTTTAGATGCTGCTACCATCGAAACGTTTTTGACCTCTGTCCTGTTTACTATGAACAGTAGATGTTTTCAGAAGTGCGAGAAGCCTGCACATTGGCAACTGACAAGTAATAAGTAGAAATCAGCAAAGTTTACTCTTATTAAAAAAACAGGCATTAAACCAAGCACCTGGTATCGGGAAAGATACCCCTTCTGTGGGGCTCACCACGTACTTTGCGCAGTAGTGCGTGTCAGCAAAACTGGTAAGTGAAACAGATTCTAGGAAATCGCTACAAAATTGTTGGTATTTCCGCGTTTGAATTTCGCGTTCCGCGCGAAATTCATTGGTGGGCCCAGTGCTTTCTCCAAAAGGTCTAACAAGACTGGAAGCGGAAATTGATGGTATCCCTATAATTATGAAACACGGTGTGTAAGGAAGTACTCCTCATTCCTTCTTTTTCAAACTCGAATCGCGAAAACGTAAAACTGTAAAACGTAAGATTTGCCTTCTAATATTCAATTTTTATACATGCTATATCACTGTGACTGCGAGCTGCGTATAATTAGATCTGAACTCCTACGGATTATGAACACAGTTCGCGAAAAAGTTACTAAGAAATCAGTAATTCCTCATGGAAACATGCTGGTAAGAGGAGCGCCAATGCCGCCTACTATCAGGCAAATCAGGCGATGTAGCTCAAAATGGTGACTTTGACTTGAAAGTAAAAAAAAACATATTCCGGAATTTCACACCACTTATCGTCAGTGAAACAAGAATTAATCGTTTAAGATAGGACACTCGAATAACTCCGCGACCACAAAAAGGCCTAGGGAAACATAACACCGCAGCCACGAACTAAAATCCGTGCACAAAAAGTGGATATTATGAGTATCGTAACAAAACGGGATTCAGTGTGTTGCAAACGAAACGCTGCTTTCTGTAATTGATCTGAACCTTAGAGCTCATCTGCCATGTAGCGCACCCAGGTTTTAGACCATGACTGCGCGTAACAAAAAAATTTTCGAATGTATTCCAGAGCAAGAAAGAGAGAAGTTCATCATACAATATACAAAGTAAGAAAAAGTGAGAGTTACATCTAAGTAACTTATTTCATTCCCGTCGCAGTTGATCCAAGCGAGCTTGTAAATCATCATCAATGTCGTTGCCTCCTCCTGCAGCAACAGGCTGCTTGGCCCTCTCGCCAGCACTGACTCCAATTTGGCCACCTGCTGTGGGTAAACCAGCCATTTCTTCACCCATTTGAATGCCTAGTTCATCCAAAACCTGCAAAGAAACCCATCAAATTGTAATGGAACGACGTGTAACAGTTCAGTTAATCACAGACCTGATTGACAATTTGCTCGCTCTCGGCATCGTCGGTCTCATCGCCAAGAGCATCGTCGATTGCATCACCCATGATTTCTTCCTTCATATCCATAATTTCACTTTGCTTTCAAACTGAAAAGGGAATAAATGTATGCAACCTCAGAGTGACAATCTTAATCAGTTTCAATCAATTTACGGTTTCGTGATTAGTTTATTTGGAAACTTAAAGGCACTTAAGGCAATAAATTGGTGCTCTGTTCAAAACAGGCACATCGGTGTTGGGGAAAACCCAATATGGGGAGGTCGTATTTGGCCGATAGGGGAGGGGGTCGTATTTGGGCTGGGAAAAATTTATTTTGATAGTTGATTTTTCTCGCTTCACGGACGTTGTAAAGGGAGGGGGTCGTACTTGCTCATTGTTGGGAGGGGGGTCGTATTTACGTTTTGGCGTTGTAGGAGTGGTGGTTGACTTTTGGTGATTTTCCTGTTTCATGCGTACTATATGCCCCTCCCCCCCCCTCCGCTCGACAGCAAAATTTTTGGGAAAAGTAGGGAACTTTTCGGGAAATTTTGAAAAAAGTGGCAGGAAGTTGGGGAAAATCTGAAAATTGGTAGAAGGGGGTCGTATTGTCTCGCGACTTTTCCTGTTTCACTATTTACCCCTCCCCCCGCTCCTCGACGGCTCGATTCGATGAGGAGGAACAGAGGGCCGGAGGGGGGGGGGGGAAAGGGGATCGTAGCGACTCGACTAAAATTTCCAACCAATGATGTGCCCTGGTCTAAAATGGTAGCAGGTGTGAGTGTGGTGAGAAATCGCGAAAAAGCGAAGTGAAACGATCGAAAAACTGCAGAAAGGGCTTTGTTCTACACGACTCAGCAATTTCAGACGAGTTTCCCGTTGGCATCGTGCCAATAACCGCTACGGTAGATACGGCTGCATGTATGTACTCATATATCCATGCAGCACCGCAGCCGCTTCATATCAATCCCTTCGCTTCATACTGTGTTCGCAAATGAAGCGATACGATTGATCGGACATTTGTGGGCAGGGCGGTGGGCGTCCGGGTCGGTATGTGCAGCTTGATAGGGCGCTATACGAGTATTTTCCCTGGAAAAGGCGCGACACAGCTCCTGTTCAGGGACGCCGAATTCGGCTCTCTAGGCGTATTAATCCTGCAACTTCTTGGGGATTTATCATCCAACAGCATTCAAAGCCAGGCCCCGGGTTCAACAGTGAGGTTGTACGGCTTTAACACTAACGACAAGGTAGTAAGCGATTCAGCAGTGAAGAAAAAAAAGGCCAAGAAACCCGCCTGAAAAGCATCATGCAGAAAACCACACTTCTGTGCATAATGCCACTGAACCGCACTTCTGTGCATAATGCCAAAAGGAGGCATGGTTGGACTGGACATTGTTTGGAGTTCTCGCTTGTTGGTGCCAGCTCTTTCTCCTGATTACCACTCTCACCATTCGAAATGGAAGGAGTTAGTAGCGTAACAACCGTACCAGCAAACAGAAGTTCGATGTGAAAGTTGGCGTTGCCGTTCGCGTTTTCCTCACGTACTTTTGAACTGTGAGATTACTTCCGCGTTTACTAGCCCGACTACTTTGTCAAAAGGGGTTTCTGAACATCAAATGAACATTGCATTTGGTTCAATAGTAACCCTCGAAAGTTTTTCATGATTTGGATAGCTCACTAACATAGAGCATCAAATCAAAGTTCATGCTCCCACAGCTGAACTTTCTTCCTTTTCTGCTTCAAAATCAAGAGTGTTGCTAGCTCGGAATATGATCTGACAGCATCCTACTATATATAAACGGCAACGTCTGTCTGTCTGTCCGGAAATTCGGAATCACCTGAAGAGCCAGTTGGAGGGGGCGGGTCAAGGGTGGGTTGGGTAGGGCATGGGCCAAGATGTACGGAACACACATGAACCAAGCTAAGCCCCGCCCACTGTGGGCGGGGCGTGCGCACAGTTGTGAGCTAATTATTCAAAAATTCGTAATTCGGTTCTAGAAGAGCCCGAGAGCGGAAATTGTGGGAAACGATAGGCAATCAGTTGGCGGATGAAATGAGGGAGTCACACCCGTGATGGGCGGGGCGTGCTATAGGTGGGCGGTGCTCGCTACAAAACTTTCAAAAATTCGTAATTCGGTTCTAGAAGATCCCGGAGAGCGGAAATTGTGGGAAACGATAGGCAAACAGTTGGCGGACGGAATGAATGAAGCACACCCGCGATGGGCAGGGCGTTCGCCGAAGTGAACGGTGCCGAGGACAAAAACCCTCAAAACGCATCCGAAAAACCCCAGGAAATGGGGAGTAAGGTGAAACTGAGCAATGGTTTGGCAGATGAAGTTAGTGAGGGATAACCGTAGGGAGTATGGTTGGTACCGTCGGCAATAGTTTATTCTTCGATTCCTCATCACTAAGGGGAGTGCCGCATGGAAAAAAGAGGATCGCCCGCGAAGCCGGGCGATCCGACTGCTGAGACAATATGATGGAAAACTTGATACGAAGCCCAGTCTCAGACTTGGAGTTGCTCAATCTCTACTAAGAAGGAAGCCTGAATCAGCGCTGATTATCGCTCAACAGTTGTGGATATGCACAAGTGGTAAGCGTAGACACAGAAAGAAAGCCGAAATTCAAGGCACTTCTTAGAGTCAGATCCTGTTATTCTTGCTCAGATTGTAGGATCAGAACCTATCGTTCTTGAATCATTCTTGCTGAAACCGAAAAAAGTTGAAAGCTGACTACGTTCCGGTATACAAATATAAATTCGGGAATGATGACGGAATTCCGCTGTAACAAACCAATGCCAAAGACGGGAGGGTGCATTGAGAAATCTAGCCTAATCGGATTGGATTGTAGGAAGTAGTGTTTACTGAAACAGAAATATTCATCGCCCTCTGATCGTCGTAACAGTGTGCAATGACGCAAAAAAGAACACCCGATAATTTTCGAAGACGAAGCTTTCGGTGAGTCATTCTACAAAGCAACACAATGGTGTCTACTGCGAAATACTGGTAAAATTGGCATGACCAAAATTCGAAAAAAAAATTGGATATCGAAGCAAAATCAAGATATAATCAGCAGATTAAAGGCGTTTTTAGGCAGGAAATAAACGAAAATTGAGTACCTCCATCATTATTTTTTGAATCTGTGGGAGGTTCAGCTGCCGATTCATTGACTGCATTGCTCTCGTCACTCCCTTCATAGCCTGAAATAATAAAAAAATAATAAACAAATAAAAAAATAACGCGGAATAAAATCAAAATTCCAAGGAAGAGTAGACTACTTGTGGAAAAACAAGAAATGCAACCGGTTCTAGTGAATAGTTCGGTTGAAATGGAGGACGTATAAAACTACGAGGACGTTTCGTAATGTAAGTGAGCATAGAAAACAGAAGGGTAAGTTTCAAAAACCTCAAAGAGAAGAAACATGTAATTATGTGGAGAACACGTAAAACTGTCTTTATTCAGAAAGATTCGCTGGGAAAGGAAAAAGAAAAAATTGGGGTCTTAATTAACCATGGTTCAAAAGAGTGGGTTACCTCAAGACGATCAAGAAACGAATCAAAAAGGAAATAATGTCAGATAGATATCATCGCATACCTGTGCCATAGCGTCCTGGCTTTTCAGTGTTTGCACTTTGAGTGAAACCGCTTGGATATTTGCCTTCATAATTATGAACTTCTTGATGTAACGACGAGTTCGAACGAGATCTTTAGCCATGACTTTCACTGAGTCCTAGAAAAGAGAACCGTTGAGTCTTCAATGCCATTACAGCATTGCATAACAAAGGGAACTTTGATTTTCTCTAAGGACAGATTAGACTGCGTTCTACTTTGCGGTGGCGTTCTGAGCGTTAATAGCCTATTGTGCGACTAGGACGGTACAGATCCAGCGTTTGAGCGTTAGCGGTTTGAACGTCCATCAGCGTTTTCAGTGATAATCGTTAACTGCATTTTGTTCGTCGCTGAAAACGCTAGTGGCTGCCTGCAACGCTGGTGGGCGCTCAAAATGGACACCTATACGTTCGCAGCCGATCGAACCGCTGCCGCAAAGGCTGAAGGATGGGGTGATCGCGAAAGTTGGAAGAGTCGCTAAATCACGAAAAGGAAAGCATTTGAATCGACTGATCTGCTAGTCCCTAGGTTCGCGAGTAACCGGAGCTTGGGCTTCTTTAGTGAACTTCTAAGATCCGGAGAACTTCACACTCACCATCTGGTTCTGTTTCGCCATCTTTTTGATTTCTGCGATCACCTTCTTCTCTTGCATTTCCATACGTGACTTCTCCCTGTCGAGCTCTCGAATTGCTTAAATACTATATTCTAATCAGAAGCATCCTGAGCAGATACACTTATTCACTGTACCCGTAATTTAGCAAAAAAACGAGAGCGACTAATAAAAACCTTTGTTAAGTGCACGCTGATTTTGCCGTAGAAGCTCACTAGGCGTCTTCTTTCGACCGAAGAGGTACTCCATCTGAAACGCAGGGTATTACAATAGGTAACGAGGTAACTCATGCACTACTGGAGCGACGAGAAAACAAAGCTTGAAGCAGCTGAATATGAATGCGACGATAGAAAATAAGAGACACAGGAAAAAAAAGCCCATGAACTGATTCCAAGCTAGACAACATAAAGACAGCACAATTTCGGCTCTTTCTTGCCCTTATTCTGTCCAGGAAAGAGATAAAGCATTCAGTCGCTATCACGTTCAAAGCCGAATCATCAGAAAATTTCGATCGCGTGTAGCGATGACTCAATGCGCCAACAGAGAAAGTGCGCTCTCGAGAAGACAACAAACATGGAAAAATAGACGGCGGCTGCGTAGCGGTCCGCTTTTGGAGCAATGAAAACTTCGGGACGGCGGCCGTTGTCCGACATATACTTAGAAGCTTGGAATTTTGTTGTTTGTCGTTTAGGCTTACTGAATGATTTCGTGAAGAGTATTGGTTGCACTTCCCATGGAATGGGTACCATCCTGGTTTTAATGGCACGTGACCCGTTACCCTCCCTAATAACTCGCAAATCACCCAATAGACATGCACGATTACGGGATAACTGTCAGTTATAGAGGCCAAGCACGTTTTGCAATGGATGTTAAAGGCTGCCTGAGTGTTTTCGAGCCTTCGTTCCATTTAGAAGAAGACCATGAGAATTAGGGATTGCAGATTTCTCGTCTGGCTGGCGTGAGGTTCCCGCTCGTGGGAAAAATGATGCAGGGGTCTGGGTGATTTGTCATGTGTGAAAACCTGGGATGTAGGAGGTCAAAACAGTGCACGAGTGTGCAGAAGAGAGTGGAAAATTGGTGCCGTTAAAAGGACCGAGCTTCAACTTGGTCCACAAACTCAAAGACGACTTTTTTCTATCCAGTTGGGCATAATGTGCGAGTTCTGATAGCTCTGGCGATTTTCAGAGCAGATATGGACACAAGTAAACCCATGAAGAAGCTCAAGAAGACAGTGGAGCGAAAGAAGCCTTTGACAAAAGATGAGGTGCGTTTTTTCTGCTTTATGTGGTTTTCTTTGCAGTTCGGTCTAGGTTATTAGTTGCAGTCTGGATTAATTATTCGAATTCATAAGTTGGTTGAAATATATCCGCCTGGAGGGCAGTTAAATTCTAGCTGGGTTAGATTAAGAAGCTAAATCTGCGGTGTAATCGAAGTGCGGATACGTTAAAGATTTTTTCACGAGGATCAAACGTAGTTTTTTCAGAACTTATGTGTTTCTTGCTGGTCAAATCCATGCCTTTAATTGAAGTTGTGAACTGTTGTTGACAATGTTGTCTTTCCTACACTTCTGTCTGCTGAATCCTTTCCTCATCTTAATTAATTTCTTATTTTCAATCGATTACTTCAAATCGATTTTGTGCTGGTCTAAAGTGGAAGTAGGAAACAAATAATCCGAATGGCTTATGATCAATGGAGCTGGAAAATTTCAAGTTCGGTTACGATTTTTCAGACACCTTCGCAGTCGAAGTCGAAATCTTTGTTGAAGAAGAAGAAGAACACACCAAAAGAGGTTAGTTCGAACATATGGCGTTTATATCATTTAGTGTTCTATTTTGTGCCTAGCAAGCTGTTACGCAGCAGCCCAATGGGTAAAAAGA